CCTCCCCGCGCGGCCGGCCCGGACCGAGGGCGAGGGCGGCAGGCACAGCCCTCAGGCAGCCGGCAGGAGCACGGGTGTCGCGCGGGCCACAGCATACGGGTCACCTGTAGCCCTTGAGGCGGCGCGGGGATGGGGCTCCGGGCGCCGCGGCCAGCCCGCGGGAAGGGGAAATCCCGCTGTCAGGGGGTTTCTACACTTTGCTCCCGGGGCAGCGGGTGCTGGGGACCTGGGCTGGGGGTGCCAGTGATCCTGCCGAGACCAAAGCTGGAGCAAGTTCCTGGCTAGAGGGACTGGCCCGTCTGCTCGGGCCCAGCCCCATCGCTGTATTTGGGGTTAGGAAGGAATTTTATCCCCTGCTCAGATTGGTATGGACGGGGGGGGGAAGTTGCCTCCCTCTGTAGCCACGGGCACGGCCAGCTGCCCTGGGATCTCTTGAGTGTATATTGACAGCATTTCCTTGAAGCAGGATGTTGGCCGCCATGGTTAGACATGATCCAAGCAGGGTGCGGGCCTGGGGCAAATCAGCCTGTATGGGGCCAGCCACAAGGAAGCCAGCGGTGGATTCGGTGTGGGGCCGGGGGTGCTGAGCGACCCCCTGTGAAGCTGGTGACAGCATGGAGTCCCCGCAGCCACTCTGAAGCAGGGGGCCCAGGGCGTTCACCCTGATTCACCACCCCCCCCCACACACACACACACACAGGGATGGCCCTGGCTGCAGTTCTCCTGCTTTACCTGCAGGTGTTATGTCTGTGTTATCTATGTGGAGTTTTGATTGCGGAGTGTACAGTATGGTTTTCGATAGGGATGATCCTGCCTCAAGCCAGGGCTTGGGATGGATGACCTCTGGAAGTCCCTCCCAACCTTCCTTCTCTATGATTCTCTGACTCTGATTCTGTGTCCAGGCCCAGCGTACAGAGCTAGGCCAGCACCCACCACGTGCAGCATATGGGTCAGCTCTACACCCATGGACAGCACTATGGGCCAAATGATGGGGCTGCATGGGCAGCATCGAGCCTGCAGACTGAACCTTTGGTGCCTGTGCTTTAGTATTTTTCTGGATTCAGAAATGAGTGAAAACTAAGAGCTATCATTTTCTGATAGTCACATCAAATGTCATGAGGGATGCCTTGAGTCTATTGGTGGTGCCTTGAGACTAAAAAGGTTGAGAACCACTGCATTACAGACATTCATGCACAAAATAAGAAGGGTCACGACATGATAAGACTGGAATCTCACGAAGACTGGGTGGTTTGACAGGGCATGTCAATAAAATTCTGCAGGGAGCTCTCGTTCTTTAAAACATATTACTAAGTTATTTTACAGTAGGTAAGATCTTTAAGGCAGAGACTATCTTTTTGTTCTCTGTTGAACAGCACCTACCATAATAGGGTCCTGGTCCAAAACTAGAGCTCTTAGCCATTTGTGCAAAACAAATTTAAAACTTTATTAATGAATGTTAAAAATTATAGTTATTTACATGTAGGATCCTGTGTGTGGCAGCTGTATGAAACACAGTTGGTATAAACTGATGCAATCCAGAAGGTGCAGTTGGTCATGCAGCCTACATTAGCCCAGAGTAAAAGGGGTGAAAATGTTTCCATGTGATAGTATGTAGAGATGAGAGAACAAGATCCCATGCATGGCATTGGTACAATTGTAAGGTGGCAAAACATTCTTAGACAGCAGTTTAGCATGCAGTGGACAATTGCTGGGGTGGGGAATACTCCAAGGTATAAAAAAATCTTTGTTGAGTGATGGTGTGTGGAAGGATCCAGTCTGTCCCCTTGGTCTTAATTCTGGCTGGTAGTCTTGGGCAGTTCTCTTCATGTTAGCAATGGCCTGTGATGTGCTCAGCATAGATGTCTTTCAACCATCAGATGGTATCAGATACTACGAGAATCCTCATCAGTTTTGACAGTACTTTTCAGGCTTGTAGGATGTTTGTGTTGCGTGGGTCCCGTGCTTCAAGACCTACAGTGATTAGTACCTGCACCATCACACATGCATTTTCTCCCTCAGTGTATCAGTCCGTGGCCTGTATTTAGCCAGCTTGCACTTCTGGGTTTCGGTGAAATGGAATGGTCAAAAGAATACTGGTCTGAAACATGGTATCTTATGAAGGCAATGATACACAGTGTATTGATTACTCAAATATAGGACCATTTTAATGAACAGCCTTGCTTTTATGTTTTGTAAAGCTCAGGGTTACAGGTTTATAAATTATAATGCACAATTTTATTGAACGGTTCAAGGAATGGTTTTAAATTTCACTCTCTTGGTGTTTTGAAAGTGCCCTATCATTTCCTTATTATGATATTTTATCTGCTTTTATAGAAAACAAGTAGATTATGACAGCTCATAATGTTGAAGCAAAAAGTTTCTAAGCTGCAAAACACAGTAAAAAAAGTAGCAATATACTTAACAAAAATATATAGGGGGCAGAAAAATTCAGTCTAAAGGGATAGGAAGTGAATGATGTGAACCTTGAGCAGAGGGTAGGGCTGGGTGGCCCCAGTTCAACACTTAGAACCCTCTGAAGTTAGTGGGAATAAAGCACATATTGAAGTAAGTTTTTAAAGCTGTGCTGAATTGATCTATCCATCTTTGTGTTAGGGTTTCATACTGCTGACCATGGCATACATATCTGAATGGCTTTACCAGGCGCCGTCACTTCTAATAATTTAATGGAATAGCTGCCAGAAGTCACTGAAGCCTTGCCTGCCCTAGCACTCCCATTAATGCTCCCTCCAGTGGTAGCACTGATGGGAATTTTTTTGTAAAATTGCCAAGGATAGGAAGGGCTAGAAACTTTTGCCAGTCAGAGGTTTAGGTTTATTTTTAATGTAACATCTCTGGTTATTGCCAGGAAAAACACAACAGCTGTTTTAAAAAGATCCTTTCAGACCCTATTTAAACAAAAAAAAAAAATCTCTCGTGTGTCATTTTTTTAAATCATGTCACAAAGCCTAGATACTGTGGGGACTGGTGCATTACAAATATGTCTAATAATAATTGCCATATTGCTGTATTATTAAGCATATCGCTCCATAAAGGCTTCGTTTAGAGAAACAATTCACAATACTGTCTCAAGAGGACATCTGTGACACAGATGCTGGGAGCAGATATCACCTCCAAATTCCAGAATGTCAAGTTGCTTTTCAGATGGGAGAATCTTTGCATCTGCTTTAGGTCCAGCACAATAAGCAACTACTGGGTATTAAAAAATTGCTAGTCCTCCTACCTCTGGGGTCTCCAGAAAGCCTTTTATACCATATGCCCACTTCTTCCTGAGTCTCAGAATCAAGGAATGCTAAAAGATACCAATCAAGCTGACCTGCGAATGCTTTCCAGACTTGGGAGCAGTCTGGTACAGACAATGCTAAATACCATCAGAAATGCATGGGTATCATTTTTACTTCTCTGCACAGGAATTCTACCAAACTATATCTTGACAAATGTTGTCATTGTTATAGGAGAATTTATTTGGCTCCATATTCTCATTCCCCCACAGCCTTTTTAAAGCTTTTTACTTAAAAGCTGCTTACTGTATCTAAACATAAACTCAGTTTTAGTGGACACTTAGAGAAATAAAAGCTCTAAGCCATCTGCCTTTTGTACCTTTGTCTTCTATTCCATTTCCTTCACTGGTCTTCTAAGTTGATTCATGATTTTTGTCACATCTACTAGAAAGATGATTTGAATGAGAGTGTAGATAATCTGTTTTTAGCATCCTTGATGGTAAAATCCTCTTTTGACCAGATTTTCTTCTCACGGTAGTTAAGTCAGGCTTGCTTTAAAATCATCTCCAGAAGAAGGAAAGAACAGGAAAGAAAATGAGTGCTAATGTTGGTTAATCCCAGCCTGAGTAATGCTCAGAATCTGTCTTCAAAGGATTCTGGTAAAAATCACCCACTGTCAGTTATTCACAGAGATCTAAAATGGGGTTTGAAGCCCATATCTGCATTATCTTGCTGAATTACTTTTGATAGTCCTTAAGATTACAAAGTAAAGGTGCAGTAGGGTAGAAAGATTGCAATTTGTCTTGTGATCAGCTGCTTGGGACTCATGCTATCCCATTAGCTATAAAAAGTAAAGAATAAAAAATGATGCTCATTTTTTTGGTAGAAGAGGGTTGTGTTTGGTCATTCTCTGTTCCTTCGTTTTCTTTGTTGTACTATAAATATAAACATCATTTGTCCAAACTCATATTTGTAAAATCCATGTCCCATTTTTTCCCAAATTCATTTAGAAGCCAACATTTGCTTGTTGAAAAGTTAACTTTATTAATGTTTCATATATTGGATACCAAAACCTTCATAAATTAATATTTAAGCACCTGTGTGTACAAATGAGTAAGGCTACAGACATGATAACAGAATTAAAAAATAAATTACTTTCTAGTTACATTTGCTAGTTTGAATTCCACTGCAACTTGAGTGCCTATAAGCTTGAATTTTAACCAGTCAAAGGTATTTGTAGGACTAAACTCTGAAAACATACATTTACCAGTCTGTTTTTTTGGATATGCTCATAGACTCAAGGGAATGGAGGAAGAGAGGGACCTAGGTGTATTTGTAGATCATAGGAAGACCACAAACCATCAGTGTGATGCAGCTATAAAAAAGGCTAATGCAGTTCTAGGCATGTTATGCAGACTATTTTTAAGAGACTGAGAATTATTACTACTATTGTACATGGCATTATTACAGGCAGTTTAAGCTACCTATGTCTAAAAGAGATTAAATTATACTAAAA